TATGCATGTGAGAGCTGGACAGTGAATAAGGAAGACCGAAGAAGAGTTGATGCTTTTGAGTTGTGGTGCTGGTGGAGAATGCTGAAAGTGCCATGGACTGCTAAAAGATCTAACAGATCTGTCCTGGAGGAGGTACAGCTGAAGTGCTCCTTGGAAGTGAGAATGGCCAGACTTCATCTCACCTACTTTGGTCATGTTAACATAAGGGACCATTTCCTGGAAAAGGATGTCATACTTATAAGGTGAGGGTTGACAAAGGAGATGGATTGACACAATGGCTATGGTGATGGCTCAAGTGTAGCAAGAATTGTGGAGCTGGCTCAGGACCGGGTGGTGTTTCATGCTGCTGTGCATAAGGTCGCTATGAGGTACATAGGGTCGCTATGAGTCAAAGATGACTCAATGGCACCTAACAACAACAACAACCAGAAGGTTGGAGGTTTGAGTCCACCTGGCATTGCCTTGGAAGAAAGGCCTAGTGATTCGTTCAAACACTCAACCATTGAAACAGTTATCCTGTGACGCGAGTAGGTCACCATGAGTCAGTCTGATCCACAGCAGCTGTTTTTTTCCAGGAGCCCTGCATATCCTGGCATAATTCATTTAGTCCCATGATTTTCAGACTCTTTCATCCCAGGACCACTTTACACTCTTAAAATTGTTCACCCAGAGAACTTTTCATTCTGAGTTATATTTATCAGTATTTGCCATGCCAGAAATTAAAACTGTAATTTAAAAAATATACATTAGTGCATTAAAATAGCATTGTTTCACCTTGTTGCCAGTCTCTTTACTGTCTACATTAGTAGAAGAGAGCTGGATTCTCACAGCTGGTGCCTCAGTCAGCCTCTTAATACATTGCTTTAAGGATATGAAGACAATCCGACTTATCCAGATACATGGTTGGGAAACGAAAGGCTATTTTACTAGAGTTTTCAGATAATTGTCGATACTCAGTTTTGATGTAAACCAAAACTCAACAAATGACAGTTTCTTTGAGGTTACTTGCCATATAGAATTGGAAACCCCATCAGTGAACACTTTGTTCTCTGAATCTGCTGGTCTGTCTTTCACATTGACTATAGTATATCTTTCCCATTCATGACTCTGTAGCATTATGTATTGTTGTTGTTGTTGTTATATACTGTCAAGTCAGACCTGACTGATAGGGACCCCTCCTTGGGTTTCCGAGGCAGTATCACTGCGGAAGTAGATTGCCCAACCTTCCTTCCGAGGAGTGGCTGGGGGCATTGAACTACCAGCCTTCTGGTTCGCAGTCAGGTGCCTTAGGCACATTTGGAAAATACGGATTCACTGAGTTATGGGCAGGGGGAAATCACACTCATTACTGCCACCACTGATCTTACTGTAAAAGTATGCATTGGGAAGCTGACAAACTCAGGATGGTACATAAAAGTTTTCACAAATTTTAATTTTTGCCTGAAACCTCAGATCTTAATCAGTGACCACAGATGTTGTCGGTTGCTTTCCTTGAAGTGACGTGTTTCCTTCATTCATTTCCCGTCAAATGTCTGTCAAGTCCCAGGTCTGAGTAGCCATGGATCGTCTCTCTGTCGTTCTTTCATGTGAAAACTGTGCTTGTGGGAGAAGCAGCTCGTTCAGCCATGGCTTATGCAGTGGCACAAATGCCTCTGCAAGCCAGCCTCCACTTTCCTCGTGGCTCACACACGTGTGCTCTACACATGCTCCTCTTCGGGTCCCAGTGAGCACTGAGAAGACATGTCCTCAAGGGTCACACTCTAACACAACTGATTTTACTGCCTTATAAAGAGCATTTTAAGGAAAACTGACATTTAAATATTTTGTTAGGGTTTTGTTTGTTTATTTCTGCACACGTGTGTGGCCAGGGAGGCTGGTGACTCCTAGTCCCGTTTGGTTCCATGGTGGGGTTTCCTGCAGATGCACCAGACTTCACCCATTGGTGCAAATGTCCCTGCAGCAAAGATGATAGACATCTTGGTATAATTATGGCAGTGGGTTTTTCCTCATGGACTCCCTGAAAGGGTCTCGGGGACCCAAGGGATCCATGGACTCAGATCTTGAGGACCATTCCTCAAATTAGGAGTGGCTGATTTAGCCATTCCTGCCAGTCTGCCAAGGCCATGCTCCAGCAGGGGCTCACCTGTCCTCTTGCCCCACCCAGAGTGAGCCAGGGCATAGCTCACATTCACGTCAATGCTGCCGGAAGGTGGAATCAGTTCCCTTCCATGTTGCTACTGTTCCCTCTCCTCTTCTGTTCTAGCAAGGAAATTTTAACAGTTCCATTGGCTCAGATGGGTACATGCTTTCTTCCCTGACCTGCGGAATGGCTCCAGTGACTTCTATCACCGAAGGGCTCCAGCAGGTAAGTTCTGCCTAAACCAGTAGATAGACAGCCAGATGGACAAAGACTGCCTCTCATGGAGCCTCGATGAGAAAAGGCTGAAGAATTAGTCATTTTACTTGAGGATGCGAAGAATTTTAATTGAAGGGTCACCTTTTCATCTTTCTTTAGCAAAGATAGATAAATAAGAGGCAGGTGAAGGGTCTGACTGAAGGAATTTAGACTGGGAAGAAATCTTAGGTGCTAGGCACTATAGATAGATACTAAGGTAAACTGCTGTCTTCGAGGGTCTGGCACTACAGATAAGGTAAACCACTGTCTCTGGGGTCTGACTTTGGGCTCAGAACATAACTCTTTTTTTTTTTAATTGTAATTTGGGTGAAAGTTTACAGAGCAAATTCACTTTCCATACAGCAGTTCACATATACTTTGTCTCATAACATTGTCAGAACATAAATCTTGAATGAAGAAAGCCTTGATTGTAGTTTAGGTATTTGGGATACAGCAGTAGGTCTTTTCTGGCTGGGGTAACTAAAATACTAAATGCCTACTTTGTCTTCGTTCTAACTTGAATTTATTAATTGACTAATGTTTTGCTGCTCTCTGAGGGACACCATGCTATACAATGGTAGTTCATTGACATTTAACAAAGTTTCCATTACACTGGAGCAGATGAAAAGATGCATTTTAGAGACGCTTTACTAGAGACATGTCCTTCACAGCCTTGAATGGACAGTGGCACCGCACACTGGCTGAGCTGACGGTCACTCTCTGTCTTGCAGGTGGTGACCATGGGCCTCTTCCGCACGATTGCTTTGTTTTACCTTGGGAGCTTTGACAGCATAGTTCGTCGCTGCATGATACAAAGAACAAAATCTGAAGCTGCAGACAAAACTGCCTGATGCTTAGCCATGGGACCAGGACTGTTCTCAGTGTTGCGCACAGCGTGCTGTGATGGGGCTCGGTTTCCGGCTGCAGACGCTAAGGTGTGGTTCCTGAGCATCTGAGACTGGAGCCACGTTCCTTAGAAATGGGCTGTGCAGGCAGGGACTCAGCTCTAGCTCCCAGTAGTAGTACGAAAACTATGCAAACGTGGACCAGGGGCCACTGCGCTTTCTGGCCTGGGAGGCGGCAAGGTGATGGTATGGGGACTGAGAGCATGTCATCAGGGCAGAGACCAGCATTCCAGGGTGAGAGTTGAGGTGTTTCTGTATTTATGATTATTTCCTTCCCCCATAGTGATGGAGTCCAGAAATAACGCTTTATGGCACATAAAAAGCCAAGGGGGCCTTTTCCGACCTTTCATGAAAGGCAGTTGAAGGGTTTCTGGGCCCCCTTGTTTTTTTAAATTTGATGTATGTTATTCAAATGAGCTTGACCCATTGCCAGTGAGTGCGAGTGCCTCCCACTGCCCCTGCCACACGTGTCATACACATGACCCTCCCTGCTGCTGGTGGACGCTGGTGCTTTCTCTCTCTCTTTGATCCCAGAAAGCTGCGAGGGGGACGGGTGAGAGCAAAGCGGTGAAGGCACGGCGGGTGGCTTCAATCCATAAATGTTTTCCAGGAGGAAAAATAATGCTTTGTCTTCTTTAGACGCAAATGCTTAGGGACTCTTTCATTTCTCCTTCCTGGGGAAAGGCAGCCTCCTCAGCTGTTTTCTGAAGAGAAATAAAACCTTAGAAGCTTAAAAGTTTACAGTTTCTTAAAGCAGCCATGCTGACCTGAAGTTCACCCGTCCCTATCGTTTCCTCTTCCTTCTCTTTTCCGTTGTGCTCATCCTGCTGTAATATTTTTGTACAAAAAGAAGAAAAGCTAAAATTTTTGACTTGACTTTTTAAATTAATTCATGAATTAATTAAAACAACTGAAAAAATAAAAAGTGTGCAGTTCTTCTCATAGCGTTAGGTGACGTTTACAGGAAAGGCCCAAGAGGTTTGTAGTTAGGTGCCATCATGTTGGTTCTGACTCATAGTGACCCTTGAACAGAACGAAACACTGCCCAGTCCTGGGCCATCCTCACACTAGACTTGCACGAGCCCAGTGTTGTATGCACTGTGTCGGTCCGTCTTGTTGAGGGTCGCCTTTTCTGCTGACCCTGTACTTTGCCACACATGATGTCCTTCTCCAGGGGTTAGCCTCTCCTGACAGACAACATGTCTGGCGTATGAGAGGTGAAGTGTCTCCATCCTGCCTCCTGAGGGACACTCCAACTGTGCTTCTCCCAAGACCTGTTCATTTTTCAGGCGGTCCATGGTACATTCAGTACTCTTCACCAGCACCGTAATCCAAGGCATCCATTCTTCGGTCTTCCTCCTTGTCCAGCTTTCACACGTAGAGGCGGTGACTGGAAGTACCATGGCTCGGCTCAGGCCCATCTTGGTCCTCAGGGGGATATTTTGCTTTTGAACACTTTGAAGGGGTCTTTCACAGCAGATTTGCTCAATGCAATACGTTGTTTGATTTCTTGACTGCTACTTCTGTGGGCATTGATTGTGAATCCAAGTGAAATGAAATCCTTGATAACTTCAATCTTTTCTCCATTTATCATGATGTATACTGGAAACTGTAGTCTTTGATTTTATCAATTAAGTACTTCAAGTCCTCTTCGTTTTTAGCAAACAAGGTTGTTTATCTGCATATTGCAGGTTGTTAAGAGTCTTCCTCCTATCCTGATGCCACATTCTTCATATAGTCCACCGTCTTAGATTATTTGCTCAGCGTACAGATTGAATAAGTATGGTGAAAGGATACAACTATGATACACACCTTGCTTGATGTTAAAGCACACAATGTCCTCTGTTCAAACAGCTGCCTCTTGGTTGATAATATAGGTTCCTCATGAGCACAATAAAGTGTTCTAGAATTCCCATTGTTCATAATGTTTTCCATAATTTTTATGATTCACACAGTTGAATGTTTTTACATAGTCATAAAACACAGGTAAACATCTTTGTTTATGATGTTGTTGTTGTTATATGCTGTCGAGTTGGCCCCGACTCAGCAACCCCTCCTTGAGTTTCTGAGGCGGTATCACTACAGAAGTGGATTGCCCGACCTTCCTTCCAAGGAGGGGCATTCTTCGCTTTTAGCCAAGGTCCATCTGACATCAGCAGTGATACCCCTCATTCCAAGTCCTCCACTCAGTCTGGCTTGAATTTCCGGCAGTTCCCTGTCAATGTATTGCTTCAGCCATATTTAAATAATATACAGCAAAATTTTATTTGTGTGTGATACTAATGATACTGTGCAATAATGTCTGCATTTTGCTGGATCATCTTTCTTTGGAATGGGCACAGATGTGGCTCTCTTCCAGTCGGTTGGCCAGGTAGCTGTCTTCCAAATTTCTTGACGTAGATGAGTGAGCGCTTCCAGCGTTGCATGTGTTGCTTGAAACATCTCAGTGGGTGCTCTGTCAGTTCCTTGTCTTTTGCCAGTTCCTTCAGGGCAGTGTGGACTTACTCTTTCGGTTCCACTGGTTCTTGATCATCTGATTATGATTGAACATCGTATGACTGATTGGTGACCAGTTCTTCTTGGTACGATGAGTCTGTGTTCCTTCCATCTTCTTTTGATACTCCCTGCATCATTATTGTGCTCATAAAAAAACAAAAACAATATTGTAACTCAAGGCTTGGATTTTTTCTTCAGTTCTTTCGGCTTGAGAAATGCCTAACATCCTTCTTTTTGGTTTTCTGACTTCAGGTGTTTGCACCTTTATATTTTTTCTCTCCAGCCACCCTTTGAAATCTTCTGTTCAGCTCTTTTATTTCATCATTTCTTCCATTCACTTTAGCTATTTTCTGTTAAAGATCAAGTTTCAGAGTCTCTTCTGACATCCCTTTTGGTATTTTCTTCCTTTCTTAATAGTGACCGTTTGCTTTCTTCATATATGATGTGCTTGATGTCATCCCACTACTCTTCTGGTCTTTGGTCATTGGTGTTCAGCGCATCAAATCTGTTCTTGAGGTGGTTTCTAAATTTAGGTGGGATATAAAACTGTACCTTAGCTCTCGTGGACTTGTGTTAATATTCTTCAGCCTCAGCTTGAACTTGCATGTAAGCAAGTGACCGTCTGTTCCACAGTCAACTCCTGGCCTTCTTCTGACCGATACTGAGCTTCTCCATCAGTATCAAGCTTCTCCATCATTTCTTTCCACCAACGTTGCTTTTATTCCTGTATATTCCATCTGGTGAGGGCCACATGCATAGTCTCCATTTATGTTGAAAAAAGGTATTTCCAATGAATAGGTCATCGGTCTTATAAAATTCTATCATGTATTCTCCAGTATTGTCTCTATCACCAAGGCCGTATATTCCAACTACAGATCCTTCTTTGTGTCCAACTTTTTCATTCTAATCACCAGTAATTATTGTTGCATCTTGAATACATGTTTAATAGTTTCAGACTGCAGAAGTTGGTACGTCTTCAATTTTTTCGTCTTTGGCATTAGTGTTTGGTACACAGATTTGAATAATAATTGTATTAACTGGTGTTCCTTGTGAGCATATGGATATTATCTGATCACTGACAGTGTCGTACTTCATGATAGATCTTGAAATGTTCTTTGTGATGATAAATGTGGTCATTCCTTTATAATTTGTCATTCCCAGCATAGCAGACAATATGATTATCTCATTCAAAATGGCCAATACCAGTCAGTTTCAGCTCACTAATGCCTAGAATGGGAGTTCTGGTGGTGTAAATGACTGCTAACAGAAGGCTGGCAGTTCAAACCCACCAGCCACTCCTCGGAAGGAAGATGGGGCAATCTACTTCCGTAGAGATACTGCCTTGGAAATCATGGAGAGGTCACTATGAGTCAAAATAGACTCGATGGCAGTGAGTTGGGGTTTTTTTTTTTTTTTTTCAGAATGCCTGGAATATGTCTTCCAGTGTTCCATCTCATTTTTGATAACTGCCAATTTTCCTATATCCATAATGTGTACGTACCACATTCTGATTATTAATGGCTATTTGCCAGTTTCTTCACATTTTGAATCATGCCACATGAGCAGATAAAGGTCACAAAAGATTTACTCCATCCATGTCATTAAGGTCAGATCAACTTTGAGGAGGCAGCGGTTCCCTAGTCCTGTTTTAAGTGCCTGCCAACCTGAGAGGCCTGTCTTCCAGCACTGTCTTGGTTGATTTCCCGCTGCTAGTCGTAAGGCTTTCAGTTTCTTCAGAAGGAGATCACCAGGCCCTTTTTCTTAGTCTGTCTTAGTCTGGAAGCTCCACTGAACCTGTCTGCCATGGGTGACCCTGCTGGTGTGTGAAACACCTGTGAAAAAGCTCCTGTCATCACAGCAGCACAAGCCACCCCGGTGGGACAGACGCACAGGCAGCGGAGGCCAGAGATAGTGTACTTAAATTTTACTCATTCAGGAGGAAAAAAAAGTAGGACAAGGTTGGTTTTGAAGATAAATGTTCTCACTTTTGAAAGAAAATGATGACCCATTCCTCTGTGACACTCCCATTGGCTCTGCAAACATCATATTCATCACATGTGTTAAGAGAGCCCACTCATCACTCTTCCTCTGCCCTGGAAAACCTTGTGGCCCCCACAGATTGTCTCCAGGTTGGAGGCTCTGTCGATTCCATGAATTTCCACAATGAGTGCTGGAGGTGAGTGTTAGCCACCATGCTTAGTTCATCCTGTTCACTGTAAATGGTTAGTTACTTCCACCTCACGCCAAACGCCCTCTTTATTTTGCTTCTGTTGTATATATATTTAGTAGAACATTCCAGTTCACTTTGTTGAAAAAAGAGCTCTGCTTTTGAAGAAGAAACTTTTTTGTAAAAAACACAAAACCCTACAGAAGAGTGAAGACCTAAAAGTTACTGAGAAAGAAGAACCCGTTGCCCTTGAGTGGATCCGATTCGTGGTGACCCCATGTGT